ATTGGCTGTTGTAAGTGTGAGAAAAAGTAAGTATTATTGGAAATATATTTTCATTTTAATAAAATGTTAACTTTCTTAGAGAGATGAATGGATGTTTAGGGCAAACAGTAGATTGTCTATTATTAGACATTGCTAACATAAAAACAAGTTTTACAAGTGATGTAAATTGTGGAAGTATAGGAATTTCTTTTGTTTATACCCTTATAAACATATCTCTGTCATCTACTTCTGTTGTGTTAAAATACGTTAACTCTACCAACATAGGCTGGGTGGGATCCTCCCTGCTTATAACCACGAAAGTATCCATGAGAGTAATTATACTATGATTTTTGATAATGTATGCATATCTTTACAAAATTTTGCAGTTTATTAGTAAATATTACAAGGCTTTCATAAGCAAAATATCAGATTTTTTTTTATAAGTTTAAGATTTCTTAAATAAAGTTATTATCATGCCTTTTTTTCTTTTCGAGTGTTGACTATCCAAAATGCAAAATAATTTTGATTATAATGTTAAAAATACTTTTATGCATTAGAAAATTTTTTAATTTCACATGCGAAATCTTTATAACCTCCAGATAATTATCAAACTTTTTTTTAGAAAAACACTATATTTTATCTGTTATTTTCACTACTGTATTTGTGTATGAGTTGGATTGATTTGACTGACCTCGTAACCACCATAAAAATTAGGAAATAAATATAAATTATACTTTTTTCATTTGAGAAATACTACAAGTTATAACACAAAAACACAAATGTTTAGTGTAAATAGCTTAAATTTCATAACATTATACCTTTATATATATATTTATTATTTTTATTATATTGTCCTTTCAGCCATGCCTGGCTAATAATACAGAAGTTGCAATGACGAGGACCACATGCACTCATGTTACGTATCCAAGAATATAAAACTGGTCTTTACAAAGTGACCTGTCTTGGCTGTGTTTTAGTGGACTAGCATTTTGTAAAATACAGTCATATTTCAGTTATATAATATTATATATGTATATACATTATTTAAATGTATTTTTCTTGAAATATAGAACAGTAAATAAAGTTTAGCAAAAAAATATCTCGTCTAGTTACGAACTTTGTACTTGTTTGCTGCTTGTCATAGATTGCTAAGCCTTATCAAATTTTGCATGTGGAGGATGTAAAACAAAATAATTTTTTTTAGGTTTTATACTTAATTTTGAAATAACCAAAAATCATAAATTACTATATCAGTACCACTGAATTCCACTATAATTTATCAAACTTAGTAACTCATCTGTATTTGTGTCTTAAAAATACGAAATTTTGAGCTCACTAAAGTCTTACGACTCTGAATCTAGCATGAAAAGAAAGAATTTGCTGCCCAAATACTTCAGAGAGGCTTAGAAATCCACTAGGGGGACATTCTGAGGTTTTGATTGGTTATTCACATGTCATAGACAGAAGTATGTGTATGTTAGCAAGTGTTTCCCAAAATGGAAAGAGGTGGGCAGGGCCACTGTGTTTGATTCAGTAAATGTAGCGATATCTCTGCAAATAGAAAAGATACGAGGTTCATATGTTATTTTCAATTCTAGCTTGTCAATATTAGTAATGTGAGTTCGTAATTCGTAAGAAACTATAGACTAATTTGAACCTATGCTCCATTCAACATACCACATGACACACAAAAATTGATACTTAGGATTTCTTTTTTAACATTTACTTTTAAGTTAAAAACTTAATTAAGTGATAATACTAAAATTTGAATTGTAATCTACAATTTGATACCAGACTTATTGACATACATTCATAAAATAGTAATTCAATAGAATTTTGAATGCGAGTCAAGAAACATGATGACGTGGCCTTGCCCCGTGATCTGTGTCGATAGGGTTAATTGAAAATTAGCCAATAAAGACTGCCTATTGTCCATCATATATTTCTACTATTTTATTGTTGAAAATGATTGTGTTAAAATTACTCTCATGTTTAATTGGAAGAAAAGATGCCATGAACATAAATTTCCTAAAGTTTCAATGCTCATTAATGGTAAAAGGAACATAACATCAGTGTTTTCTTTATTGTATGCATTGTGGTTTAGTGAATTTCATTGAAGACAAACTTTAGTTTCATAATTATATAAATTCAAATTCATTGATGTGATTTTTTATAGATGGACAGTTTCATTTGTTAGTGGCTCACTTAGAGGGGATAAAAAAGCTTGTACTTTCTGGTGATGGCTATCGTCCAGTAAACAGCTTTTTCAGGACTCTCTTTTTTTTCTACTCAAAGCATGGAAGCCCATTTCTAGAAGTTGAGATTCAAAAGTAAGAATTATAAAGCTATTTGTTTTCAATTAATTTTGAAATAAATTTTTATTAAATTTTGAATTGTATGAATAAATTATCTAAATACTGAATAAATTTATAGTATAATAAATTTATACAGTTTTGATTTATCCTGAACTTACAGGTTGTTGTTGGCAGTAATGTTCACAGTACCAGAACTCTCTTTTCGTGTTGTAGATTTCATTGAATGCTTGCAAGAACAGATACCACACAGGTAGCATATTTGTTTCTTACCACAGTGAACAGAAAACTACCTTCTTTTTTGTAATTAATCAGTTGTATTGGTCTATAAATATTATAAACAGATATTTAGAAAATAAACTTTAGATTCACTATTCTAGAACAACAAGTTATATCGAAACAAATTTAACACTTTCACATCTTCATTCCAACATTTGTTCTTAAAGTTCTCATGAATGTGTTGAAATCTATTGTTCCATAATAGTGAATCTAAACTCAACTTTAGATTACGTAATATTGTGTATTTACCTTATATGTTTAGAAAATGTCTGAGTTGCACATTTAAATCAGGTCGTTGCCTTTTGTCTGTGTATAGTTTTGAAGTCCCCTTGTGGGACAGCAGTAAGTCTACAGAGCTACAAAGCTAAAACCAAGGGTTCAATTTCCCTCAGTGGACACAGCAGATAGCCTGATGTGGCTTTGCTATAAAACACACACACACACGGTTTTGAAAAAATTCATTAAACTAAATTATAGGTTGATAGTCAAAAGATTTCATATCTGATCTCATTGTAATATTTTATGTAGGTAGTTTAGACCTATTTATTTTGCCACCTTGTTTAATATTTATTATGTGAAATCAATATATATTCCACTTAAACAACCATCAACTTTTCTTCTCAAACGTTACTTCTTTTTGCTGATTTGTAAAAATTGACTATTTTGACAGCTCTCTTCCTGAAAAACTGGTGAGTGCCACTGTGAATTTTGTTTATGAGCGACCAGTAAGCAGTATTCTTCTCCATCTTCACTGTTATTTAGAGCTTCTCAGAAAAGCATCTACATTGCCAGCAGCATTTTGTTTCCCTAAGGTAATAATTGTGCTTATTGAACTCTGAAAAATGGAGATTATAGAATATTTCTGGAAGTAAGCTTGATGTAGGGTTTTATTAGTTAAATATTGATGCTGTAATATTTTTATTACATTCTATCAATAATAATAGTACTTCTTACGGAAGATCCAGGTTCAAGATGTTTTTTTGTTGAAATATTGTATAGTTTCTTGTTGATTTATTTTTTTCTCTGTTTAAACTAAAACATAAGCAATGTTGGTTGAATAGTGTTAAATGCTTGAACTTTCCCAGACAACATTACAAACATTGTAATGAGCTGTGGATTAATATCAATATAAAAGTTTGTAGTATACATGTGTGTAAATGTATTTAATTATTTTTTTCCTAAATTTTGTTATACTGCTGGTATATTTTTGTTTTTAAGAAGATACTTAGCTTTCTGATGGAAGTTATCAAGACTTTAAGTTCAGAAGATAAAATGGACTGGTTACTAGGTAACATATTGCTGGATGTGTGCCAGAGCATTATACAACACCACAATCTCAGTCTTTTATACAAAGGTAAGAATGAAATTAGTTCTTACTTTTATTGTTCTGCTCTAGACTTAATGTTTACTTTGTTTAAAATCTCATTGTTTCACATACAGGCATGTATGGATTCATACTTTATAATTCTGCCCAGAAACAGTGCGTTTATAGTGCCTAATCTTTAATTTTTATACACAGGCATGCATATGTCACCATTGCTCATCTCCAACACCCAATTCATATGAAGTGTATAGTCTTAAATTTTTAGAAACGGGTAAATATAGATATAATTCATTTTGTTCTTACTGGTATTTTGTTTCAGCATCTGATTTCTTGGAAGTATGATATTTTGCTGGTGTTTATAGATAATACATGTCTCTCTCACCACAAGTCATAAACAGTTTGAGTAAAGAGTTTTCTTATGAGAAGCAATGAAGAAGCAATTTATATAACATCAAGAATTGTATTAAAACTATTACCATATATTATTTAAGCTGGTTGGTGTTAACCTTATCTATTTGAAAAGGAAAAAGATTAGCATATAACTAAATTTATTTTCTCTCAATCTAGCATCCTTGTATTATTCCATATATACTTCCTGGTGCAAAGTAATCAATTGCATAAAATCTACAATATTATTGTTAAAAGAAACAATTTAATTTGTTTAGGTTTGTTTACTGAATGCATTGAATGTTGTAGCACATAATTTCAGTTTTGCAACTAAAATGTTTGAAGAAATTCAAATTTCTAATCATCATAGAAATTGGAGAATTACTTTACCTCATCATGACAACTTTCAATGAAGCTGACATTAAAAATCGAGCCAAGATGTATTATGCTGCTGTTACTTCTTTAGCTTCCACAAAGGTAATGTCATTGTTGTTAATGCCAGTGTTTTATTATTTTGTGAATTATTAAAACATTAGACCTGTTTTGGATAATGGATAATTTCAAAGATAATTTTGTTTGATATTGTGCATGTATCAAAGCTTAAGTTTTATGTGATGATTTGTAAAGTACCTTTGAATATTAAAGTCATAAGCTGCTTTTATGTTTTCTTACTCCAGTTTTGATTCACAAAACCAATTGATTGGTAATAGGTAAAATCATAACTTAAATAGTAGGCATATTCATATTATAGTTCTCACCACTAATTAACTAGGAGCATTCTCTGTAAATGCTTAATATAGAAAAGAACTGGTAAAGTTGTTCTCTCCTGTCACAAGCATTTTTGTATGGTTAATAAAAACATAATGAAAAAAGACTCAGTCATGGATAACATTTCTCAAGTGTAAAAGTTATAATCAATCAAAAATATTTAATATATGAAAATGAGGAAAGATTAAAAATCAGAAATGAAATAATTTATTCCCCCATTAAATCTTGTGAAATTATTTAGATTAAAAGGAATGATTCATGAACATGTTCAAAAGCTGTTATTATACAGGTTGAAATATTACGCACTAGATGAATGAATTAATCAAGTCAGCTAAGGTGCTTTATTATCATTGTTCTAAAGTAAAAAGATGATTTGTATAGTGATTTTAAATGTAAACATTTTTTTTTTTGCTATGAATAAAGAATACTTTCATTTGGTGATGCATTAAGTTTAATTTTCTGTAGGTCATACATGTTTTATCTGTTTACTGTATTTTTTCTCATCACTGTTTAAACGGGTTAATTAGATTTTTCAGGAGATGTGTCAAATGAAATTAACATTTGATTGTTAACAATATCACTCCTAATTGAATATATATATAAAGTCTTTCCACATTCATGTATTTCTTTAGGTTAAACAGATATTTCAAAACTCAACTCACTCTCAAGAAGTCACTCAAGCACTTAGTAACATTGTAGATGGTGAGTAGTGTTCATTCTAATACTCTGTATGTTATTGTTAACTTAGTGATGAACTAAAACTATTAATGATTTTTACTTTCTTTTGTTATAAGACAAAAAAATTAATTTATTTCAATTGTTATAATGTTTTTTATCTATTATTATTATTATGAATTGTTAGACTACTACATTTATAAAGTTTTTTGAACAGTATAATTTTGCAGTATAATATAGATTGTTGGAATTTATGGGACATCTTATAACCTTCAGTGTTTGAATACAATTCATTATATTAACAATGGTTGAAAGATCTTGCTTATTTGGCATATAGATTGGAAAATGTTTGAGTCAAAGCATGAGGTAGAATGGTTTTTAGAATTTGTTCAAGATGGTTTTTCTTCAAGAATTGGTTAGGGTACTTACCAGGAACAATGCTATTTTAGATTTATTGGTTGATTGGGTGTAAACTGGAGAATGTCTGGGTGAAAGTGATCTTTTCTCAGTTAGATTGGAAGTTTTGCTGCATATGGAGATAATGAGTAATGAGATGTGACATGTATTATGTGCTGTGAATTGGGCAACTGAATTAGTTAGAGATACTGATGAAATGTAGAAATTTTTAAAAAATAAATTCTTAGGTATTCAAGATAGGCAGGTTCTTTATAAACAAAAAGGGTAGCTATTAGTAAAAAACCAGGTTGGCTCACAAAGAGTTTAATCGTATGACTACCAGCTATGAAGATTGCTCATAGGTAACATTGCTCTCATCATATTTCGTTCCAAAATAAAACTAATAGATGTAATTGTGTAAAACTTGACAAGACCTATCTAGATCTAGAAAAATCCTAAATATCGATTTTTGTGTGTCATTGGTATGCTGAATACAGCATTGGTTCAAATTTGATGTTTATGATGTTCAAATACAATAAATTTGGTATCAAATTGTAGATTATAATTAAAATTTTAGTATTTTTAGTATTTAGTTAATTTCTTAATTTAAAAGTAAATATAAAAAAAATCCTAAATATTGATTTTTGTGTGTCATACGGTATGTTGAATGCAGCATTGGTTCAGATTAGATGTTTATGATATCCAAATACAAAAATCTATAGTTTCTTACAAATTAGGAACTAAAATTACTGATATTGACAAGATAAAATATAAAATAAGAACTATCTTTTCTATTTGCTGAGATATCGAAAGATTTAGTGAATCAAACACAGTTGGCCCTACACACCTCTTTAGATTTTTGTAAAAGCTTATGTACACCAACTTCTGTCTATGACATGTGAAGAACCAATTAAAAGTTCAGAATGTCCTCTATGTGGTTCTCTGAGCCTTTGCAAAGTATTTGCTAGTGAAACCAATTCTTTATATGTCAGATTCCAAGTAGTAAGGTAAGACTTGAGCTTGAAAATTCATATTTTTTTAGATCCAAATGCAGCTTAGTTACTAAGCCTGATAAATTATAGTGGAATTCTGTGGTATTTATATAGTAATTTATGATATTTGTTATTTCAAAATGCATATATAAAATCTAAACAAAAATGGTTTGTTTTACATTCTCCATGTGTGAAATTTCATAAGGCTTAGCAAATTACAGCAAGCCACAAACGAGTACAAAGTTCATAACTAGAAGAGATAATTGTTTTCTATACTTCTTTATTTACTGTTCTATGATTTTTAAAACAAATCTGAAATTTAAGAACTTACTTGCAAGTAGTAATAATGTATATGCATATGTAATGTGTTATAACCAAAATGTGACTGTATTTTACAAAATACTGGTCTACTAGAACACAGGTCACTTTTTAAAGGCCAGTTTTATATTATTAGATATTGTAACATGAGTGTATGTGCGCTGCATCATTCAACTTCTGTAAAGTTAATCAGACACTGTTGAAAGGTCAATAAAATAAAAATAATAAATTTGTATATATATATATATATATATATATATATATATATATACTACACACAC